AAAACAAAGGACCTCAGTTCGACCCCCAAAAAAAAAAAAAAAAAAAAAAAAAAAAAGATTCTTACAAAAAAGAAACAGATAACACGATATTGGTGTGTTATTATTAAGTGAAGTCCATAATTTGTGTAAACTCCTTGTTTTTTTTCGACCTAATGTCCTTTTTCTGTTCCAATGTTACATTTGAGATGTTGTGTCACATTTAGTCGTTATATGCCTTAAAGTTCTCTTTGGCTATGACAGTTTTTCGGACTTTTATTATTTTTGATAACCTTCTTGTGTTTTGAGGAGTACTAGGTCAGGAATTTTGTAGGCTGCACTTCTGATGGAATTTATCTGATGTTTTTCCCATGATTAGACCAGGTTTTTTTTGTTTTGTTTAGTTTTTGTTTTGGTACTGGGGATCGAACTCGGGTCCTTGGGCTTGCAAGGCAGGCGGCAGAACCACTGAGCTAAATCCCTGGTCCCTCATTTTCTAATGTCTCTGTTTTCAGACAGAACAAATTAATGCCAAAAGGCACTGTGACCCACCCGCATGGGTGGATTCAGAAGGCATCTCGGGGCTGGCTCTCAGTGTCCATCCAGGTCTGTAAACAAAGGCTCCAGGCTCTGACCTTGATGAACAGAGACTTCCTTCCCTCCGATTACATTCTTGGGGGCAGGGAGCCAAGAGGTGATCCTTGCAGCCCTGTGCTTTCCTCTCCAAGGGATCTTTCATTCTTCCTAGGGTGGGGACCACAGATGACACACACCAGATGCCAAACGAACACTCTTAGATGATGCAAGCTGGATGTTCTTCCTGCTATTTGCAGACCCTTGGGTGAGTCCTCTAAAGGTTGTCCTTCCAGGCACAATGCAGTGGTTCCACTTTCCCCTGATTCTCCCTGAATCACAAGCAGATTTTCCTTGGGGCCCAGCCATTCTCCTCAGCGGATGATTCACGGCACAATTATCCCATGTGGAAGGATGTAGGTGAGGTGATGACATTTCCCTCTCTGACAAGGGTTCACATTTGCATCAGAGTCAGGTGCTCCAGAGTTTCACAGGTCTCTCTCATCTCCCTGTATAACCCTGGACTTGTGTCTTCCTCTCTTACTGGCCATGTTGGAGGATTTACATTTCCAAGTCAACCATTATGGGGAGCCAGAAGAGCCCATGGGCACAATCAGCTGGCCACGGATGGGGTTGTGGGTGGAGATTCTCCAGCTGGCACCATCCACTTCTTTTGGCTGTGGAATCCACTTCTAGTGTCATGGCCAGACTTTCCCTCAAATGAGAGGGTCCACTTCAGCTTGTTTCTCTATCCTCAGAAGGTTCCCATCACTACCATCACTTGAGTTCTTTGTCTGATGTATGCTGATCCTCTAGATTAGGGTGGGTAAACTCTATAAAGGGCTAGAGAGTGAATATCTTCAGCTTTGTGGGCCATAGGATCTTTGTCACAACTATTTAACTCTGCTATCTTAGGATGGACAATTTGTAAATGAGTGGATGTGGCTGTGTTCTAATAAAACTTTATTTACAAACCCAGGCAGGGGCCAGATTTGGCCGGCAGGCAGTACTTTGTAAATCCCCGCTGTAGGCCTCTGTCTCTATGAGGGTGGGGCCATGTCTGTCTTTGTCCACTGCTGTCTTTCTAGCAACTGGTCTAGTGTTTGGAGCTGTCCATCTTTTCTCCAGTACATTTGACATGTTCTTTCTTGTAGCTGGTGTGTAGATTTGAAGGAGCTGACACGCTGAGATTTTAATGGATTAGAAGCTCTCTGTGAAGCTTTCTTTCTCACAGAAAACTCAATATACCCAGTCCATTTATCTGTCATTGTGTGTAAAATTCTATCATGAGGGACATTTCTTTGAATTAGAGTTAGTGGTTTGTCATCCATGACAATTTGACATGGTGAGACAATTTGGCACGCACACAGATTAGCTTCAATCTCTCATAACATGGGTTTGGGATAGTCACTCTTAGAGAAGGACAGGGCCAGAGATTTAGCCCAATGGTTCTGCCGCCTGCCTCAGGAGAGCAAGGTCCTGAGTTTGATTCCCAATTAAAAAAAAAAAGAAAGACAAAATAAGGATTAGAGCTGTTGGGGCAGGCACCTCAGTATAAGTGTCCTGTGACTGGGGAGACAGCCTGGGAGGAACAGTCAGAGAGAAAGGGATTTTTAAGGAAGTTCATAGGCCTGGGCCAGGTTTGGCAAAGTATGGACATCAGAGTTAACAAACATCACCACCAGCACAATTTTCCAGAAGGCTTCTCAGGTTTTTACTGACCTCTTAAACAGGAACATATAATGTCAGTGTGGGCTAACTCTGAACCTCCTGACCAGGCTGGGCTCTGTAACCTCATAATAGGGTGTCCTTTTTGTAAGCAATAGTCCATTTGAGCAAGGTTTAGGAGAAAATGAGCCATAGAGTTTGTTAACACCACCACCACCACCTTCATCAATATTTTTTACCATCACCAACATCATCACTGCCACCACCACCATCACCTCTGTGATCACCACCATCTCCACTTTCTCCTTTATCGTCACCACCAGTACTGTTGTCACTGCCAACGTCACTACCACCGTTACCTCCGTGGTCACCACCATTACCACCTTTCCATCACCGTCACTGTAATCACCATCATAACTTTCAACAGCACCATCATCTACCCTTTTACTATTATTTACTATTATTATTACTTTTATTATTATTTACTATTATTACCACCATCACATTACTATTTCTATAATCACCACGGTCACTATTACCACCACCAGTGCCAGGACCATCAGTACTTCTCTATGCTAGTTAGCTTTTTGTTCCTGTGAAAAAATACCTGGATAATTAACTTAAAAAGGAGGCAAGGTTTATTTTGGGGAATGGTTTCAGAGATTTTTGATCCATGGTTGATTTGCCTTTTCGCTTTGGGCCTGTGGCAGGGTAGTATATCATGGTGAAAAAAATGTGGTGGACTTCATGGTGGCCAGGAAGGAGAGAGGGGGAGAGAGAGAAGTCGGGGGAGAGACCTAATGACATAATTTTCTTCCACTTTCTAAGGGTTCCATCATCTAATAGCACTGCAGACTGGCAACAAAACCTTTAGGGCATGCTTTTGGGGGATCATGTAAAATGTAAACCATAGCATTTTGCCTTTGGCCCTCAAAGGCTAATGTCTATACCACAATGCAAAATATACTTAGTCAATCTCAAAGAATTTTCAGTCTTAAAAGTTACAGTAGTGCTCAAAAACCCAAGTGCAAAGTCTCCTGTGAGACTCAAGGCAAACTTTTACCTGTGAATCTCTGTGAAAATAAAAAAATCAAGTTATAGACTTCCAAGACACAATGGCTCAGGAAGGAGGAGTTCAGGGTTAGAAAGGAAGGGTTTGACTAAAGCAAGACCAAAACCCAACAGGACAAACATTAAATCCTGTGGCTCCATATTCAGTACCTGGGGTACATGGTGGCATAACATGAGGTCAAAAGGGCTTAGGAAGCTGGGCCCCTATGGCATTGGGCTTGTTCTGGTCTGTCTGCAGCTTCCCTCAGCAGGCATTCTATGTTCAAGGCATCTCTAACTTCTTTGGGTCTCCATTGCAGCTTTGTTTCACTCTAACAGCTTTGTATAGCATTCTGTCAGGGGCTGCTTTTTTTTTTTTTTTTTTTAACTCTATCACACAAGATCTGGCCTCCTAGGCAATCTTGGTGGAAGCCTCTATGACCCTATCCCACAACTACTGCATTCTTATGCCTGCAAAACCAGCGTGATGTGGATGATGCCAAGGTCTGCCACTCTCAAGAAGTAGCTGGGCCTGCATAGAACAAGGCTGCTGCAAATTTTGAATTCTAGATCACTGAATATAGGAAGCTGAATTCCAGAAAAACAGTTTCCTAGGCAGGCCTATATGATAAGTAGGGCTCTCTGGAGCTTAGCCTGGATGGATGGAATCTTGCAAATTCCTGAGATATCCTCAAGGCATTTTTCCTATTGTTCCAGTGGAAATTACTTGGTTAGCTTTTAATGATGCAAATTTCTTTAGCAATCAAACCCTCCTTGGCTGTAACTTTAAATTTATTCCTTCTGTGGCCTAACTACAAGCTTTTAAAGTCTTTCCACCCTGTTTTTTGTTCCTAATTCTCACTGTCAATCTGAGTAAAAGCAGCCAGTAATGGCTATGCCACTGCCTGAGTGTTGTGCTGCCTTGAAATTTCCTCTGCCAGATAAACCAGTTTATCATCTTTAAAATTAGCCCACAAAGACTCAGGACAAGGACCAAGTGCAGACAAGTTATCTGCCAGAATATAACACAAATGGTTTTAGTCCAACTCCCAAGAGCCCTTGTTCCCATCTGAAACTCCGGGACTCTGGGTCTTTACTGTTTATATTCTTATCAGCATTCTGGTCTTCTGATACCTCACAAGAATTGCCCCATAAGATCTGCTTCAGCATTCTCTTTTTTTCTTGCTTTTTATACAAATCACATATGCAGAAATCACCAACTTCCTCCTGTCAATTTTTTTCTTTATTGGTATATTTTAGGTATACAATACAGTTACATTCCTCATTGGGATCTTGTACTTTTACATGATGTATCTTGGTTCTTATTTTTTCCCCATTCCCCTGGCTTCCCTTTACCCTTCCCTATTTACAAAGACGTTGTTTCCATTTTTTCCTTTTCTCTTATTTTTTTCTTATTCCTTCTTACCTTTCCCCTAAGCATTCTAGCACTTTTTAGCCCGTTTCCCTAACCTTTCCAAATTCCTCTTATGTAACAATTCCAAAATTTCCTGAAATGTACAACTAAGTACAGTCACAACAATGACTCCACTTCTCGGTACCAATTTTCTGTTTGTGAGCTTTCCATTTCTATGACAAAATACTAGGGGTAATTCCTTATAGTGAGAACAGACTTGTTTGGTTTATAGTTTCAGATGCTTAGTACATGGTTGCACGACCCTGGCTTTGGTCCTTTGACAAGGCAGGAAATCATGGCAGAATGTGTGTGGTGCTCACCTCATGGCAGCCAAGAAGGAAAAACAGAGAAAAGGGGTGAAGCCCCAGTAACTCATTCAAGGGCAAACCCCCAATGATGTAAGGTCCTTCCACTAGGCCCCTCCTCCTAAAGGTGCTACCGCTCTCCTAGTGCCACAGGCTGCCAACAAAGCATATGATTTTTAAAGATATTTAAGATCCAAAGTGTAACACTTCCTTACTTTCCCTTTCACTATTCCTGCCACTGGTACCATTACCACTGCTATTACCATCATTACCATTACCACCATCTACCACTAACATTATCGCTGTCATTACTGTCACCACTACTATCATTGTTACTGCCACTGTTACCCTTCCAATCACCCTGTTACTCCCACCACCATTACCACCATCACCTCCACCACTTCCACGACCATAATCTCTCTTTCCTTCCCTTCACTACCACCACCTCTATTATCACCAGTAGTCATTTCTTCCTTCCTATCACCTCTGCCTCTACAGACACCATCACTACAACCATGCCTACCACCTTCACTGTCCATACTTCTGTTGTCATATCCCTCACGACTATCATTTCCATGCTTACAGCCACCCCAGATTCCATCACCATCTTTACCACCGTTGCCATCAGCTGCTCAGGACTTCTCCTGACCTGTGGCCTGAGCCTTACCTTGCCCACATAGTAGGGTAAAGGGTCGTTTTTCTCTTCATCAATGTGCATCTGGTTCCAAATCCAGTCTCTCTTCTGGCGCCTGTGGGTGCTGAGGGTGTCTGGTTGGGTAGGGTCACGGGCTGCCACTGCTGCTGCCACCAACAGGCCCATGTAGGTACCTAAAACAGTGGCCAGCATTGTGAGACTCTGCTTCTTCCTGGGAAGCACCAGCCTGGAAGAAGAAGAGAAAATCAGAGAATGGTGGTCACTGCCCTACAATGTGAGCAGCTCCTCTGGAGAACTGAACTTGCTTTGTCTGTTTACTCCTTCCTCCATCACCAGCAGAACCAGACTCTTCCTGGTTCCAGATTCTTCCTCCTGTGCACACGGGCTACATGGAGGAAAGGGGAGGGGCTGTGAGGGCCTGGAGGCTGCAGGGAAGGGCTCCTGGAGGAGACGTAAGGCTGATACTAATTGCAGCTCCCAAAGCTCTGCACAGGGGCAATTCCCATTTAGCAAATGAGGAGACTGAGGTACATAGAGAGGTTAAATGCACATCAGATGAGTGGCCCAGTAAGTAATGAGCCCAGGTGCCTAGCCTCAATGGCTAACCCTTACCAAGAATGTATTACTTGCTTGACTCTGGTCTAAGCACTTTCTACACGTTATCTCAATCTGCCTAATAACTTTCAAGATTGGTATAACTGGAACCCTCCTTTTACAGATGAACTGAGGAACAGAGAGATTTAATAAGATTTGTAAGATCACCTAGACTATAAGGAGGAGAGCTAGGATTTGAACAAAGGTTGCCTGGTGAAAAGTTAAAGTTCTTTCTTAACCCTTTCATCCCAGCAGCTTTTATGGGGTGGGATATAAAGGCTCCTCTGAACAAACAGGTCCCCTCAGCCAGCCTGAAATTCCCTATGGCAGCTTTGCATTGATGCTGTCTTTAGAAGGTCCCTAGGAAAACCCAAATGTCTTAACCCAGAGGTTAGTCCCTTGCTCCACTCCTGGGAGGTGGTCCTCTTAGGAGCTCTCACAAAAGCAGAAGTGGGTGGGAGTGGGGAGCTTGAAAGGCTGGGTTCATAGGACAGACTCTAATTTGCAGGCCCAGAGAAAAATAGAAATGGGGGTCTGTTGCTCCAATTATTAGGCATTTTGAGTCAGAAATGAAAGAACATTAAACGAAGCATGGGTCCTTGGAAAAGCAGGCCCTGTTCTGTTGTACAGGTTCCACGGATTTGAAGACATCCTATACTCCACAAATGAGGGCTACACAGAGATTAAAGCTTGGGGCAGGGTGGGTAGAAGCTAGGCCTCTGACTATCACCATGCTTTCTCAGCCTTGACCTCCTCTTTCCACACATCCTGGGTTCCTGTTTCACTGACCTACGGCTCCTGGGTTAGTGTAGAGGAGGAAAGTGAGTGGGTGGCAGTAGGAACCAGTCTGCAAGCCTGGAGAGAGACATGGACCTGCAGGATGTTGGGTGGGATGGCTTCCTCCTCAGCCCCACCCTGAACTCTGCCACAGGTTTTGAAACTTTAGCGATATTTCCTCTGTGTCACTGGCGCAGGGCTGGCCTGGTTGAGGGTCTCTGGGCCAATTGACCTTAGTCTCCAGGGCCCCAGACCTCTGGCTCTGCCTCTCTCAGGGGGAAGTAGCTCCCATAGTCCCAGGGGGCAGCGGAACCCAGAAAGTTGGTGCACAGTGCCTGGGGGCTCAGCCTCCTTGGCTGTCAGTGAGGAACCTCATGCTCTGGAGGTCAGATGCTCCAGGAAGGAGGAAGGCAGTGAACTCAGGGCTGGGGAGCAAGTGAAGTGGGGATGCCCCAGCAGAAAGCTGGTTCTGACTTAGGGAGGCTCAGGAAGGCATGATGCTGTCCCGACCCCAGAGTCATTTCCTTCTCTGCCTAGAGGAGAAACTGCAAGTTACAGTGTTTTCTGCTGCCCTTGAGAGAGAAGTGAATTGGAAATGGAAGAGTAAAACAGAAACAAAATCAGGAAACAGGGTAAAGGGTTTTCAGGGTTCAGGGTGGGCCAGGGTGAGAACGCAAGCACTGAGCTGCTGAGTGTGGAGCGCCTGCTGTATGCTCGGCTCTGCTAGGCAACAGGGTTGCAGTGTGAACCAGTCAGGCACACACACTGTAGCAGGAAGAACAGGAAAGCAAGTACACGGGAATGACAATGGTGAACACAATTCTGAGTGAGAGGGCAGCTGGCTGAGACCATGAAGCCAGGGAAAGCCCCTCAGAGAGGTTTTTGTTTTCTAGGGCTGGAGAAGGTACCCAGGGCCTTATGCATACTAGACAAGCACTCTACCACTGACATCCCAGCCCAAATCAGAGATATTCAAATCAGTATCTGAGCGTCAGCTATGGAAGGACAGGAAGAAAAAGAAATTCAGGCAGAAGCATCAGAAGGTGCAAAGGCCCTGCTGCGGAAAAAAATGATTGCGGTATTTGAGGAATCCAAGGAAGTTCCCTGGGTTAGATTGAAGAGAGCAACAGGAACTGGGCACAAGAACCGGTCAGCAGGTCTGTGTGCGAGGCTAAGTGAAGATCCCCGAGAATGCCCATCCTGAATCCCCGAAACTTGGAATGTTCTCCTACGTGGGAAAAGAGTCCTTGGGCAGATGAGATGGGGGGATGATCCTGGACAATGAGTCCAGCACCGCACAGAATGGACCCAGAGGGGCAGATTTAGTACAAAGATGTGATGACAGGGGGCTGGAGGAATGTGAAACCGTCAGCCAAGGAATGCAGGTGGCCTACTGCAGCTGGAAGAAGTAAGGACAGGGATTCTCCCTAGGCCTCCAGAGTGAATGCAGCCTTGATTCCAGCCTGCTGAGGCTCATTTCAGACTTCTGAACTTAAGCACTGTAGGAGAATAAATAAAAATAAATAAATACATTCGCGGAGCTCTAAGGCCACAGATTGCGGCAGGCCGTCTCTGCAGCACTGGGGCTATGACGGGCTGCCTCACTCCTCAGCTCCCCGTGGTTTGCTCCCTGCCGGACTCCCTCCCTTCCCTTCCTCTGCTCCGGCTCACAGGGATGCCCTGGCCCTCTGGCCCTGACCTTGACCTTGGGCTCTGGCTGTGTTTGGCCAGAGGAGCCTTTGTCGCGCACTCGGAGGACAAAGGAGAGAAGTGGGGGTGCTTCTTCCCTGCTCTTCTCTGCTCTGACCCTTACTTCCCATGGTGGCTGCTTCTCTCCTTGATGCCACCTTCTAACGGGCAGCCCTTCCATGCTTCGGTTCCCCACTAGGTTCTGGAAATGTCCCTCCCTTTGTCCCTTCAGACCTGACAGTGGTCCTGGGTGCCTCCATATACGGCCACCTCCCAACTCAGCCCTCTGCAGCAGCCCCTTCAAAGTTGCCCCATTGGTCCCCTGGGGTCCTGCCAGGACTGCAGGGATGTGGCTTCTTCTGTATGGTGGCCTGTTTGGATGGGTGAAGCTACCCCCAGGCCTGACTGCAGCAATGAGCCAAATGAATAAATAACAACACTGGACTTCAGTGAAGCAGAGCCCTCTGGTCACAGGCTAGAACCACACAGTTGAAGAGGGACAGTAATCCCTCAGTGGGCTTTGGCTGGTGCCACAGATGAAAAACTCTGGGCAGCCGCGGGAAAGGCTTTTGGGTTCTATTTTATGTCTAGCCCTGCCCTGTGGGCTGGAGACAGCCCTAGCAACACGGGTAACCTTCAGGCTGAGCCCTAGCTCATATAAATCATTCATATCGATGTGTCTCTTGTCAGGTGATGGGGAGGTCTGCACTCTTAACTCTCTAGTCAGCCATTGTCAGTGAGGATACAGGAGTCCTGGGGATAGGTCCTTTGGAATCTGGAGTCACATAAGCTAGTATCCTTCCGGTCTCCTTCCCAGAGGAGACTTGAGCACCTCTGAGATAGCTCTTCTTGCCCAGAGAGGGCTGACTTGCCCAAGCTCCTCTCCTGAGGTGCCATATCTCATATAAATCCTGCCACAACCCTTGTAGATGATTGTCAGCGGTTGCATTTTGCAGGTGAGGACATGGCAGCTCAGAGAGGTGGACTGAGTGAGTCATCCCAGGTCACACACAGCAGAAGAGGAGGAGCCAGGATTGCAGCTTTCACCGAAAATAGTGCTTTTTGCCACCCCGTCTCTGTGGTGCCCCTCTTATGCAAGGATAATAAACTATTCTCAATGTCTGCCTTTCAGAGATACCACCTCATTTAATATTCCTACCACCTCAGCATCCTGTGGATGTAGCAATGATCATTCCCATTTCACAGATGAGACCGAGTTTCAGAGACAGCGAAGTCCCCCCAAATGTCCACCCCTAAGCCCTGGAACCTGGGATGCTCCCTTACACAGCCCAAACTCTAAATAGTAGTCTTAGACTCAAATCTAGATCTATCTTTTTCTTTACCCTGGGCTCCTTCTGCACACAATCTCAGAGGAATCTGGGAAGGATGTTTCCACCTGAAAAGCCACATTTATTTGTGTGGTTTGCCTTCTGTGTTAGAAATTTGACCACCAAAGCTGGCTGTGGGGCAATCCTTCCTCTTCCTCCTGCATGGAGAGGAAGTCAGGCCCCAGACTGGCTACAGCCACAGCTGAAACAGAATTTCCCTGGGATTAGGCTCAAAGGCATAACCAGAGCCACAGCTGGGGTCAGACTTATCTCAGCCACTTTGCTTTTAACAAGCAGAGTCCGGTGTCACTTTTGGAGAGGCTTAGGATGTCGCTAGGTGGATTTGGGCACCACCTATGTCCAGAGGGTCTGAGGCAGGGGGATGTGGTTTTTGGGCTGAGCAGCTCCAAGCAGGTGGCCCTGGGACTCCGGTCGGGTACAGTGAGGAATGGAACGAGGATCCTGGGGCAGCGGATTAAGGTTGTTGGACTCACAGAGACTGGTGCCAGCACTTTTCCCTGTCATCCAAAATCTATGACTGTGCCCTTGTCTCTGGTGCCTGTTTTTACCTCTCCAAAGCTTTCTCTAGAGCCTTAAAGTTACACAGTGACTTGACCACCATTTACGGAGCATTTTCTCCGTGCCCAGAACTGAATCAACCCTCCTTGCCCGGAGCGTGCTGACTTGCCCCAGCTCCTCTCCGGAGGCGCCACATCTCATGCAAACCCTGCCACAAAAAGACATTTCACAAATGATTTCACAAAGAGACAGACACAAATCACAACCTCACAGTGTCGCTGGCCCCTTGGATCCCTTTCTCTTTGTGGCCCATCTGTGTCTGGGGTCAGCCTTGAAGGGGCTGTGAAGGGGGCTTAGCTCTGTATGCACCACGTTCCCTCAGAAGGAGGGTAGGAATACAGTTGAGGAGGCACATGGCTGGGGGTAGAGGCTGGAGTTTCTCTTGGGAGCCTCAGCATTCTCTGGATCTGTAGTTAAATAGGTAATACGAAGTTTGGGCTCAGCTGGGAGCCCCTCAGAGGGGCAATGGCAACTTCCCTGGGCTGATCTTGTCCCTCCATTTAACTGGAGCCCCATAGGCCCTGGGCTCTGGGCTTTAGGTGGTTGTTAAACAGGCTGGAGGCTCTGTGGGAGAAGAAGAGAGAGGTCCAGGTCTGAGAAACACTGCATCCCCAGGCCGTGGGAACCCCTCCACTCTCAGAGATGCTCACAAGTCCAGACCCCAAGCACAGGCTCTTGCCCATGCTGACCTCTCCGTCCTCTCTGGTTCACCCAGCACGGGGTCTTCAGCTGGGAGGAGATCTGGTAGCTGAGCTCAGCTCCAGGGAGGGTGCATGGAATGCTCAGGCCCAGCCCAGCCTCCCGTGGCCTGTGGCTCTCAGCCCAGAGGCCCTGGGTCAGGGATATGGGGCAGGATGGTGGGAGGAGACAGCCTGGAACATCTAGGAGGTGTGCCTGTGGAGAGGCGAGTTGTGGGGGTGCTGAATCTCCAGCTCTGTGGGTGGCCCTGGCAACTCTCCCCACTGACTCCCAACCCCACACTTCAAATCTCAGTGTAGGATGGGGTGGGACCCCATTAATAGCCAGATTTCTCCAGGAACTCCCAAATTGTGTGCATGAACTCCCGCATTGGCATGGAGGATGAGGCTGAGGGAGAATGAAGGGTGAGGCCCTGGGTCCCTGGGGATGGGTGAGTTCAGGCAGCCAGGAGCTGGCCCATCGGGGTTCCTCTAGATGTGTGGCTCAGTTCAGCCCTGGGGCCTGCGCCTGGGGGTGGTGGTCCTAGACTTCTTCCCTGTCTTCAGTGTTCTGCCGACAGCCTCCCTTGTGTCGGCTCCCCACCCCTCACAGGATGAAGTCTAACCCCGAGCCCACTTTCAAGGCCCATCACAGCGTGTCCCCTCCAGCGTTCCTCTTCTCTACCTCTGCAGCCGTGAGAACTACAAGTTTCTGGTTTGCACAAAGTTCTTCCTCTTACCAGGAAGTTTTTAGCATAGGCTGTTTCCTGGAGTGCCCTTCCTCGCTGTGTTCTCTGGGTAAATGCTTTACTTCATTTCAGGCCCCAGGGCGCCTCCTCTATGCTGTCTTCCAACTATCATCTGATCCCAGCACAGCCTCTTCTCTCTGGCCTGAGCATCTGGGCCCAGACAGGTTCAGGTCTCTACTTTATCCCAGCATCCCAGGGCATGAACTCAAGGTCCCAGACATAAAGGTGTCAAGGTCCCCACTGCTACCTGTCAATCCAGCTTGGTTTCCAGTTCTGGGCTTGTTAGGTACTCCCTTCCTACTCACAGGGCTTTAAAACAACCAACCCATACAGGGCTGGGGATTTAGCTCAGTGGCACTGTACCTGGCTCACATGCAGAAGGTCCTGAGTTCGATCCCCCGTACCACAAAAACAAAACAAACAAAAGAAAGAAAGAAAGAAAAGAAAAGAAAAAGCTTGCTGAATTTAGACAATTATAGATAGCACCTGTGGCAGTTGGAGCAGGAGCAACCATTGGTGTAACTCCATGAAGCTCCTATTTGTCCCCAGAAGGCTCTGCTAATGGCCATCACATTGCCAGATACACCACCATTAGGATTTTTGAGGGAACAGAGATTATCCTTCTCAGGGGTCCCTGAGGAATGTGCACATACTTCTGAGCAGGGGGCTTTTTATGGCATGCCTTGCAAAACAGAATTCAAAGAATGCCACTCACCTCTTCCCTCTCTCATGGCAGACACCATTAATTAGTCATAGCGTTCATTCCCATTGACCTTGAACCCAGTCCCTGAATCCTCTATGGTCTTTGAGGTACGACCAATGGACCAGACCTAGTTCGTCATCTGAAACAAATTGGTCCCTGGGCACCAGGCCATTTACATTACCGTCCTGTCTCTATGAGACAACTCCAAGCTCTGGGCAGGGAAAACCTACCCAACCCTTTCCTGCCTCTCTGGGCTGCCTGGCTTTTCCTGGGACTTGGGGTGGGCAGAGGAGGCAACATAATGAGCCACATGCACCTGCCTGTTGGAACTTGCCCAGTCACTAGTGAGCTGGGTGACCTGGCGCCCATCCCTTGCTTTCTCTGGGCCTCAGTGAGCTTGTCTGTGACAGAAGCAATAGCTGCTCCCCTAGATAGGAGGATTAAATGGGATCTTGGGTGCGAAGCCCAGCACACAAAGGTGCTTGCTAAGTGAGTGGGTGTTTGTCCCCCCATCTACCTACCCATCCCTCCTGGCAGCTGTGGCTTCCACTGCAACTCACACCTGACCTCATTTCCTGACTCTACCCCAGGCCCACCTCCTGCTCCCCTCTGCTCTGCTCCAGAAGGAAATCTCACTCCCTGCACCCTCTTGCCAGTCTGTACCTGCCACGGTCTGACATCCAGGTCATCCCTGAATGAGTTTACAGGTGGGCAAACTGAGGCTAAGATTGCAGAGGGGCTTCCCATGGCCTCCTCTTCCCCCAGGACGCCCTCTGTGACTTCTCCACCCAACACCAGAGTGGACCTCAGTCAGGATGGGCTTTTCAGTGTCTCCTAAACCAGAAGCAAGCTCCTGAGTGCAGGACTTGCCTTCTAGAGCATTCTTTCCCCAGGATCTTTGGAAAAGCACTTGGCTGATCCTTGTGCCTGTTTTTGTAGCCTAAGCTGACCAGTGACCCCTCCATTGAGCTTCTCTGTGGAGTGTGGCCTTGGCTGTGGAGCCAGAAGGGGCTGATCTCACTCCTGGCCTGCTTCTATCTCATACTAGCTGTTTGACCTTGGACTGGTTGCTTTGCCTCTCTGGGCTTCAGTGGTCCCATCTGTCACATGAGAACCTTTGTAGTAGCTTCAGGTCACCCAAGAGGGATGCAGGGAGGTGACCAGAGGTAACAAACATGGGTGCCTATGGGCCAGGAGCCTGAATTTTTCCTGGGACAGTGGCCACAGTGTCCATTTCATGTCCCTGAGGCAGCAGTGGAACTGTGAGTCACACAAGTCCGGTAGAAAATAAGTATGGTCCCTTCTGGCTTCCTGCCCCCATCCGGCCCTTGTTTCGCTACACAATGGCCTGGGTTGAGACTGCACCGGGGCAGCTTAACCTCTTCATGGCCACAGGCTAGTTCCTTGAGCTGTAATTATCAGGGCTACTTGGGGGCTCAGCTGCTCCTGGGTCCCTCCAGGGTCACGCAGGGCCTTCCAGAATGGGACCTGGGCGGGGCTGGACTCAGGCGGGACAGGGACAAGTCTTGTGTCTCCCCTGCCAAGGACGAGCCTGGGCTTGCACTAGTCCTCCCACTACTCGGCCTCCACTTCTTGCTCTACAGAAACTCCAGCCACACCAGTCTCCCTGGGTCCTCCACCCTACCCAGCTGTCCCTCCTCCCTTCCATGTCCTCTCTTTGCTGTCAGAATCCCTTCTGCCACCATAAGTCCATGCAGCAAGGGGCGAGCCCAGCGCCCAGTATGGAGCAGGAGCTCAGAGGTTGCCCACTGCTCAGCAATGGCTCACAGTGCCCTCTTTCTTGTCAACCAGGGGAGCAGGGGTTGTGAGCATGGCTTGGGGGTCAAATCTTTATGACATTTACAGCCACTTTTTTTTTTTTTTTGGTACTGGGATTGAACTCAGGACCTTCTGAGCTAAATCCCGGCTCTCATAGCCATTCTGCTCTAGGGTAACGAGTAAATTCAGCCCTAGTTCCTCAAAAATCTGCCATTGTTTGTCAGTCCCAATACCAAGTGTTAACTTCATATTTAACCACATGAGGAAAACACTACTTCCCCATTTTACAGATGAGCACACAGAGGAGCACAGGGGCTGGAAAGTCTGGGCTCTGGAGGATGAGACCCTAGTTTAGCTCTCCACCCCAGCTCGTCTCCAAATTTCAACTGTGAGGATATGAAGAACGGATCTGTCTACCACCTGGGGTTGCTGGGAATGAATGAAGGAGCCCCGTTGTTCAAGAGCCTTCTCTGTGCCTCACCTTCTGTTCTCACAGCATGTCCCCCATTGTGCAGATAAGCAAAGTGAGGTTTGGGTCCCACACAAGCAAGTGGTAGAGCTGGGATCTGTGTCCAGGTGACTGTCCGAAAGCTCTCGCCTTTGCAGTTTTCTGGGTGGACTTCCCCAGGCTTTGAGGGTTCCCAAGGCTCTTGGTCCCAGCCTCTGGGTAGGGTGTTTCTAGCAGCAAATCCCACAGCATAAAGCTGTCCTCTAAGGTGAATGGGAGGAGAAGGAGGGGATTTCAGAGACAGGAACTGAAGAGCCCAGAGCCATGACGCAGATGGCCTATCCTGAAAACGGATGCTGAGAGAGGGATCCAGGCTCAGATCTCCCCTTTCAGGGATCCTCCCCAAATCCCAGCCCTTAAGGCACCCCTCAAGGTAGGTGATGTCTGTCCTTGGGAATTCCTCTCCCATGGGGGAATGGACACCAAGGAAAAGCCAAGACCCAAGTGCCAGTCCTCTGCACCAGCATGCTGGGTGACCGGGAGCAGATTCCTGCCTTCTCTGAACCTGGCATTGATGGAAGCCAGTGGGCCCTGGGGGCACATGGGGTCGGACTGTGGAAGCTAAGCTCTCATCACCCGGCTGTTTGTGCCCATGGGACCATCACTGGTCCAGCCCTCTTCCAGCCCTGCTCTGACCCCTGAGGAGCCATTGTGGGGCTGGGAGCCCTTAGTACCCACTGTAGAGTTGGGGAAGCGGACAGTAGGTAGGGTGGAGAGACTTGCAGAGCCCCACTCACCGTGCCTGTGGGTAGAGGGTCTCCCTGTTCTGTCTCTGTCCGTCCAGGGCCAAGAGTAGAATGAGTTGATCTCAGCGGCTGCCTCTGGAGCGAGCCACACCCAGTGTGAGGGAGGCCGGCCTCCCCGCTTCAGGTTTTCCACCCCCGGGAGGGTTTCCTGTTATTGTTGCTCAGTGCGGGCTGGGCTGCTGCAGATAGGCAGACCCCATGGTGGGCGGCCACCTCTCCCGACCCTCTGGGTACTCTTAACTCAGATCCTGACTCTAGGCGACAGGGTCTGGACTGCAAGCCCAGCACCTGCTGGTGGCCTGGCTGTGGAGGTTCTGGGCCTGCATCAGGGCATTTAACCCTTCTGGGACCCCCAAAACAGGTGTCATGACCCCCATTTTACAGCCCAGGAAGCAGAGGCCCAGAGGGGCTAGGGTGCTTGTCCACCAGCTGACCTGTAGTAGAGTCCGAGACCCTGTTGGGTTTTATCTGGGGACCCTGTGGCCTCCAGGCTGGGCAGTGAGGGGTTTCAGAGGTCTGTAGTGGGGTAGGTGGGGGTGGGGACAGGCAGCAGCTCTTGGTACTAGAGAGCTGTGGGCTTCTCTCAGGGAGGGTAGACACGAATCCAACTCTAAGGTGCTAGCCTTGGTCTGTGTCAGCTGTTTGGGTTTAGAGATACTGAGCGGTCAAGTGTCCTAGCTTTGCTTCCGATGTAGCTGTGGGCTGATCGTGGTCCCTTAAGGCCTCAATTTAGTCATCTGTAAAATGGGAACACTCAGAGCCTTGAGATAAACAAGAGTCACAGAAGAGTTTGGAGGACAGAGAAACAGAAGCTGGACCAGAGCTCCTCGGAACCGAGAAGCTGGGGGAGAGAAGGGCTGAGATTCGGGTACTCATGGGAGCCTCCTAACAACTCCAGAGGCCTGGGCTCTGCTGCAGGCTGATTGACGTGGAATCTCCGGGCAGGCGCCGGGAATCTGTCCTTTGAAGAGCTGCCCTGGTTTTCCATGGTTGAGTGAGTGGCTGGGAAGTCCCGAACTTGTTCCACAATTCAGCAGGGACAACAAAGACTCCAGAGGGAGGGCCTTGCTCCGGGACACTCAGGAAGTCGGGGAATGAGAGAGGCAAGAGCAGCAGTAAGAGAATTGGAGGGGAAGGGGAGGCAAAGATTGCCCTACTTTGGGCAGGAGTTTGAGCTGCCCGCAAGACACCTACAGTTGGCAACTGGAGGTGGGTAAGATCTGGTGCTGAGATGAGGTTTGGAAGTGATTAGCTTGTGCTTGGCGCCGAGGCAGCCATGGAAGTAGATAGATGAGTTTACTGGAAACCTTTCACACTCTGCTCAGTGGAACAGGGTCCAGTGAGAATGGGGCCCACGGGAGCCAGGCGAGGAGAGCAGGGTAGTCACTGGGTCACCTGGGTAAGCAGATGGCTGCTGCGTCCCTGTCGAATTTGGAAATTGGGAAAACGAGGCCATCAACTTCCACCAGAGCAGGCTAACCAGAAGGGGACTGGTTGAGAGAGGGCTGCGGAGCGGGTTGAGGAAGTTGGATCACGTGTGACCGCGGGCCCCTGCCAGTCTGGCCACGCCTGGGAGCAGAAGTACGGGAAGGTTGTTTCGTGCTGCGGTGGCAGTCCTGTGACCCAAGGGAGTATCCAGCAGCTGGGCAAGACAGGCAGTGCTGGAGCCAGCGAGTGAGCTTGGTGACCCGCTGTGGGGCTGGCTCCCGAGTGGGGCCTGCACCGACACTCGACGGCTTGTGGGCCGAACAAACAACAGCTCAGCGTTTCCTTCTCTGCAGGGTCCCCTCTGCTTTCTGCCTGGAGCGCTGTATACTCCCCATGCCCTGGCCGTGTTCCCCTCATCCTTACCGGTGCCAACTGCCTGCCCTTGTAGTGTAGGGTCTGTGGGACCTGAGGGCCTGGGCATGACTTTGTGCAGGGTCTCAGATTCGGCCTGTCCTGCTGCCATGTGCCCACTACTGTTGGGCTTCCGGCCATGAAGAAGAATTTTGTCCTGAAAACTGAGTTTCTGTCATCTATGAACAAGGGGATTGTTGGCCAAGAATGTGCCCCAGGTCCCCATGGCAAAGGCACTTCAGAGCCTGGGGAGGAAGAGGTCAGGGCCTCTTCAAGCCCCCTGAGGATCTCATGCTCAGTGTTTGGCACTGCCCGGCCCCTCCCTGCTCCGATCCCTCTGGAGAAGGGCACAGGGGCAGGAAGTGCCAGCTGGAGCAGCGTGAAGGAGGCAGCTGCGGGTCAGCAGGAAACGGGATGGTCTGCGAGGCCAGATTAGCAGTAGCCGGGAGGGAGGGACAATGCTGCTACGGGGAAGGGATGTAAGAGTGAGGCAGGGGACGCCCGCCTGCCTCTTGGGGGGTTGGGAGGAGGCTGACCTGGGAGGGGTCCTATGTGCTCAGCTACGGGCTTGGGGGCTGGCGGACCCAGGGCCAGACCCCGATGTCGCCAGTCCCTGCCTGCATGACCTCGAAGCCTCTTCCCTTACCTGTGAAAGTCCTCGGTTCAGACTGCAGGGCTGTCTGGGATCAAAAGGACAGTGGAAACCAAAGATGAAACAGGCCTTAGTAAACGTGTCTCTCAAAGTATGATCTCCCCAGCATCTGCCTCAGAATCACTCAGGTGGGCAGAGGAGCCCAAAATGCAGATTCCTGGGCCCCATCCCAGGCTGATGGCAGATGGCAGGCAATGGGACCCCAAGACCTACGTGTCTGCAGCCCACCAGGCAGAGTGCACTCACATCTGAGGACCAGTCTCCCTGGTGCTGGAGATGCCCTGAGCTCTCTCTGGGGCTTCTCATTTGACCCTCAGGACAATCTCAGTACTATTGTCAGCCTGTTACACAGATGGCGAAACTGAGGCTTGGACTCAAGGGCTCCCTAGGAACGCAGAACTTTTCAGCAGGATGTCAGTTACGAACCAGGTCTCTGTCTCCAGAGGGCAGCTCCTTATCTGCCCAGCTTTCCTGCCCTGCCACAGCTGTGTGGATAGCATGGTGTCCGATCGCAGTAGCTGCTCATTAAATAAAATTCTCTGGAATTCTATGCTGGATAGGAAGGCAGGGAGTGATGCCCATAGTTTCTGTGGAGGTGGTCACTGTTTCCCTCCTGTGTTTCCTTTTTTTCCCCTCTGCTAGCAGAGCCCCCGTCATCTCCTCTTCAGTTGCACTCTCTCCCTGTGCCTGTCAGCCCGGACACAGCTCCGACCTTGCTCATCTGCTGGGCCCTCTCTTTGTCTCTGCGGGTCTCTTTTGTGTCCCTCCAGGTATGGGTGGGTGGTCTTGGAACTGTGCACCAGGCCACTGGGACTGCCTGGTGTGGCGGTCTTGCTGCCACTGCCCCCTGTTTGCCTGGCTTCCCACAAGGACTGCGGCCAGCAATACTGCACTTCTTTTCTTCCTCTTTGTGGTGTTTTATCTGAGTACCCAATACTCATGCTTATTTTTTAATTTTTAAAATTTCATAGGGGTGAGTTTGCAATACGTAATAATTACATTTTCAGGGAGGACTTGGTACACATACATCTTCTCTTGATCATTTCAGTCTCCTTTCCACTTCCCTCTCCTCTCTTCCTCTGGTCCCCTTTCTCCTCTCCAAAATCTTCCCTGTTGCCTACCATTTCTTCTTTGTTTTACTCTTTAATTTATTTATATTTTGGGTTTCCCAAATAAGAGAAATCATTCCATATTGAAGCTTCTATGCCTTACTTATTTCACTTAGTATTATGACCTCACGAGTCAGTCATCCATTTTCCTACAAAGAACCCGAAAGTATCCTTCTTTAAGGCTGAATAATACTCCATTGTTTGAGCTGAGTAGCCATAGCACACAGAAGCAAGGGATGAAGTCAGAGCCTCCTGTGAGAACACAGCTGGTGCGTACTTCATAGGCTCCATCCGAAGTCTGATTTTGTTGCTGAATATGCTGCCTCTTCTTTCTCCTTTCTCCGTACAATTGCCCCAGATTTGAGGGCCCTGCTCTAAACACTGAGCATGTGCCATCTTTGACTCAGGCTCTGTGTCTCACTAATGCTCACGGGGGCCTCAGGAAGGGTAGGGTGTTATGTGCCCATTTTATAGGAGTCAGTGACGAGCCCAGAGTGGCCCTGCCTACTTCAAACCGGGCTCATGACCTGCAGAGTTTCGCCGAACACTCTGAGCTGCTCCAGTGTCCATGCTATTCTTGGCTCTGAGGGTGCTCCTCCTCCCTCCCTCAGCCAGCTCAAGTCCTCCTGGCCTTTGTGTGCCCAGCTCAATCGCACTGCTCCTCCACCAGCCCCGTGAGATTCTCATTCTGGAAGAATCTTTCCTCTTGGAGGTGTCTGCTGTACTATATGCCCATCCACCTCCTGCACCCTACATGCTCATTTTCAAAGCCTGTTGAACCCCCCACTTGCTTATGTAATAATTCTGCACAACAGCCCGGAGAGATGCAAATACTATTCGTATTCCCTGTCAAGGGGGCTGAAGCTCAAATGTGCTGAGTAACTTGCCCAAGGTTACACAGAAGTAGCACAGCCAGGATTACAGCCCTCACCTTCCTGTTCTGAGTTTAAAGGTCACTGTATATCATCATCCTATTCCTGATAATTTATTAAACAAGAATAACGATGCCCAGGCTTTCCCTACTCCTCCGTTGGGCACAGGAGAAAGATCTGGTCCCTATCTTTGGGTGTCCCACTCTCATGGGAGAGACAGGTGCCTAGATGAACATGAGCCATACTAAGTGGGGCCAGGGTGGTCACAGAGGCGAGTGCACTGTGGGTGCTCAGAGGAAGTGGCCTGGGGTCCTCGAACTGCTGAAATACTGGGCAGTAGCTCACCAAGCGTGGAGAAAGGGCTCACAGGCAGAGGAGTTGAAGGCGTGGAGGCCCATGGGGGAAGGAGAGAACTTTCCCTGGGAGTATCGAGGGTCTGGGAGCCAGGGATAGCTGGAGATGCAGCCAGCGTTGAAGGACTTCTTCTGCCACACTGAGAGCATGGGCAGACCACCTACAGCCTGCAAACCCTGTCGTGCCCCCATGGAGCCCTGGATTTTGGAGAATTGCCCTGCTTGATCTACTGCCTCCTCCTGCAGTATCTCAGTTGC